GGTTAGTTTGTAGCATGACCAAAATTGTCTTTTTATTTCCTGGAAGATGGCTTTGTCGCCCTCTTCCTGCTAATGTCTATGCATCCACCCTCATGACGCCAACATTATTCATTACTTTTCTTTTTAAGATTAGATAAGATTCCATGATAATACTACTACCAAATACAATTAGTTCTTTTATAATGCATATATCACACAGTGATGTAATGTTGCTATGTGCTTCCAAATATAGCACCAGTGATATCCTCCAATATGGTTGCTGTCACCTGCTCCAAAATGTAATACATATATTATTATAATAATAATAATAATAATATTGGATTCTTATATAGCGCATGTATCGAGATATTGTTAAAATTCAGACACACTATGAAAACTAAATGAAAATGTACTGGTACTTGCTTTTTAACTTCTGTGTGCACTTCAAATTACTGGCCGTACCTTAAAATTTTGTTCAGTGAAATTTAATAGATAACATTTTTTGAGATGGGTGAAAGTGATCGCATCCAATCAACTCGAGCTGCAAATTATGGTTTAATTGCATGTTATTCATTTATGTACTCGTTTTCATGCATGAATGTAATGACTCTTGACAGTGAAAACAATGGAAGATGAATTTTGTTATGGAGGTTGCCATGGAGATTTAACAAACAGGGATGTAGATGTTGACTCCGACTTGTAGTAGCATTGTCAAATCAAAAATGTTCCCATCCACAGCGCCAAATTGACCGGTAACTGACAAAACTGTGGCCTTTCAGGATAATGTAATTTTTTGTTTAGTCTAGTGTCTGGGGTGTTTGTCTCATCGTCACAGTCGTCGGTATGGCTGGGTATTAGACCCATTCTTTCTATTCAAATCACTGAGTAGATCTTTGTTTGATTCTCTGAAAACCACAAATATTTCTCAAACTGATTATGAAATCAAATAGTTATTGATTACCTCTTTATCATTTGTATTGTTGTGGTACGATTCGTCGCTGTTTTCACGAAGTGACGGTTGTGAAAATAAATTGCATTCACTTTGCGTTACGATTTTCCTCACTACCGTCACTTCGTGAAAATAGGGACGATTTTATTGATTACTGAAACATGTACATGAATTTATTTTTCAAACTGGGGTTACATGTACATGCATGTACAATATACATGTACGGAAAAATTGCTTTAAATATATGAAGGATGAAATTCATAGCTAACAAAGTATATTCTATTTTGTGTGAGACATTTTAGGTCATACTGTCTGTTGTTCAATCATGCTAATTATTCATTAGTTAGAAATATATTGTACCGCTATCATATTGCTAGTGCAGGTGATAAGCAGAAGTTTTTCCCAGACTGAGCTTGCTAATATCCCATTCTTACATGAATACACAAACCACTATTATGTTACAGGTCATACTGTCTGTTGTTCAATCATGCTAATTATTCATTAGAAATATATTATACCGCTATCATATTGCTAGTGCAGGTGATTAACAGAAATTTGCCCAGACTGAGCTTGCTAATATCCCATTCTTACATAAATACACAAACCACTATTATGTTACTTCGTGTACATGTACATACGCAGCCAATTATCTCTATTGGCTCTACATGGCACATGGATGCTAGTGATTGACCGATGCCCTCTTCGCTAGGTCTTGAGATCATCGCCTCATCATCCCATCAATCTAAGGCTGTGTTCATACAACTTTTTAAACTTACCAAATTGCCGATTTGAAACAGACTTTCATGGTACAGCAATCATCCATCAATTAAAGGCTGTGTTCATACATTTTTTTTTTAAACTGATCAAATGACCGATTTGAAACAGACTTTCATAGTACAGCAATCATCCCATCAATTAAAGGCTGTGTTCATACAACTTTTTAAACTGATCAAATTGCCAATTTGAAACACACTTTCATGGTACAGCAATCATCCCATCAATTGAAGGCTGTGATTATACTTTTTTTTTAAACTGATCAAATGATCGATTGGAAACAGACTTTCATAGTACAACAATCATCCCATCCAACAAATGCTGTGTTCATATTTTGTTTAAACTGATCGAATTGCCGATTTGAAACGCACTTTCATTGTACAGCAATCAGAACAAAATTTGAAAAATCATGCTCTACATTTCATTCATTTATATTCGCACCTTGCTTGTGTTATGTTTATGATAGTCTAGAATGCAGACCCTAATTATAATAACAATAATAATGGGTTCTTGTATAGGGCTCATGTCAGTCAGATTTGACCCTCCTGGTGCTCCCGATTATTACCCTGGCTTTAGCACGGCTGCCATACGGCGCTCTAGCATTTCAAGGAATAAATACCTACCAGGTACACATTTACTTCACCTTGGTGGAGTGTGGCAAATGTAGATCAATGTCTTGCTGTTCATGGTGTGCATGTAATGACTGATCCTGTTATGCAATGTTTATCAGTATTAGTGTAATATTTTACGCTGCATTTCTTGTGAAAATCTAAAGCATTCATAATTCACAAGTGGCAAATAGTCTCCTGAAAAGACCTGGTGTTTTGAACTAAACGTTTCATAATCTCGACTCTGACCTGAAAGCGTTTTTATGAACGCTGCGCTGCCTAAGTCTACAGACAGACATGATCTCTCTTACATCAACAAACAATCTTTATATCACACATCATCATTTCTAACCTTCTTTCCAGGCACAAGACCTTATTCTTTTTTCGCTTTCATGAGGCCTAACGTGTATTAAGGTCTATGTTTTACTACTACCCCTCGAAGGGAATGCAGGTTATAAGCTGAAGATTTTTGTTCTCTTTCAGAGCATGCTCAAGACACCAAAACAAAAAAGTAAAAGGATAATTTACAAAGTGCAGGTTTATAGGCTATATATGTCACCTCTTGTACATGGGCAAGTGCATTATAGTTGTAGTCTTCTTCAGCCCAATACGTTACAAAGATTATTAGTAAATCACGACAAACATTTTGATTGCAGTTGTCTTTTTTTTCTTGCTATTTGGTCTTATCCATGCTTGAGTAAGGCTGTCAGCTTAATACAGCATTTGGTTTTTGAAAAGTTATGATGATGTCAGTAACATGTCCATTGGCAAGATATTAATCCACATTTGCCATTCTCCACCCAGGTGTACCAGGTAGGAATAAATTCCTTCAATGCTTGTTTGCCTTTTATCACGGTACCCGTGCTATAGCTAGCCGGGGTAATAATATGAGTGCGGGGGCCCTCAGGGAGAGCAGCATAAATACTGATAAGGCTACCCTGGGTAAACAAGACATTATTATTATTACTAACATACACTCAGTACAGGACAAAATAAGCTGGACTTGCCCACATATGAGAGACTAATATGAAGCGAGCACTTCAAGAGAAGATTGAGGCTGGGAAGAGGTGAAAAATAATTTGTGAGCGTTATCATTGTTATTATCCGAGTGCGCAAGAACATCAGATAAAAAATGTTCACTGAAAAGCATGGTGCTTCAAATGCCTTAATATTCTAAATATGGCATGTAACATCATACAAGTAGGGACAGTTTTTTACACCACATGTTCCTGTAGTCCCATATACATCTTTCTGTGTACAGCGATTGTACCTTTACCAAGACTGGGCCACATTTCTTATCATTTTGATGATTCCGAAACCCTTGTACATGTAGTGCACATCGCATGACTATAACTCGACTTTATCTTTCAGAGTGGAATGAAATACTTTCCCTTCTTGAAGCCTGGGAGTGAGACTACTCCATGGATTAAGTCTTTCATGAAGACACGCAGCTTAAATGTCATTTTGTCATCGATGTGGTGGAGATAACTGACATGATCTTTCTTGTGTCAATAACTATGTTCTCGAGCTCTCCCACACCATCTTTCGCAGACACACCCTTCCTTCATTTTAGTCCTGTCATGTTCATGAACTTTGCAAACTTGTTAGCCTGAAATGTTCACATCAGGGACCTGTTTCACAAAGCCTTTTTCCAATGACAAATGACAAAAATAAGTGACAAATCTGCTGATAACCAATCAGAAGCAGGGATTTCAGTAGCTTATAACAAAACCTGTCATTTGTCACTGATGACAAGTTCTGTGAAATGGGTCCTGGGATGGGATTTCTAGGAGCTCAGGGTGTATTTCTAAAAACTTCCAAAGTACAAGTCCTCAAATAGTGAATAATTTATTGTGGTTTGAATACTGCATAGGAGGCTTGATGGCCCAGTGGTAGAGCAGGCGCCTCATAGCCGGGAGGTCCTGGGTTCAAAACCAAGTCGATGCTCTAGTGCCCTTTGGTATAAAGGCATTAATGCTCATGACGTCAGCCCCCTTGTTGCTTATTTGCAAGCATTCATGTACACATGCTTTCTTAGCAGTCAAGTACAACAAACAAACAAACAAATAAACAATCATACTTTCATAATCAATCATACTTTCATAATCAATCATTCCCAAAAATGTCTAGACAGTTCCTTTCACAATGCAGTAGCATGCCCAGTCGTCAACTGCATGTACTTTATGTGCAAGTATATTTGTGTATCTGTTCTTCTGGCAAGTTTTCCTTTTCATGTTTCTTTTTTAAAATCAAAAACATTTTGTGGGTTATTGGGAATCTGCATGTGATCAGTGATTATAGGCATGCCTTACAGTATATTCAATATATACATGTATATACCAACCAGTACTACAGTGTAGTATCGGTATATTGATAACAATATATTTTATTTTTGCAATGGCATGACCAGTATTCATCAAAACACATGTGCATTCCTGTTTCTGTTCTTCAAGAATGTTTATTTCAATGTTTTGTTTAGATTGAAAATATTTGGTGGGTTGTTGTGAATATGCATGTGATCTACTTAAGTAGGAATGCCTTACGCTCATCATGTACATGTATCTACCAGCAACAGTGTATTTTGATAACCACAGCATTTCACAATGGGTTTCCAAACCTCTATTATAATTTATTACAATTCATTTTTATTTAACTTCTATATTTCATTATTTTTATCTTTCCTTGTGCAGATGGATCGGAAAGTAAAGGAACAACAGACGCTACACATGAAGATCTAAACACAACCAACACATCAGACGATAGACCACCTCGGCAACGGAAAGAACCTGGTAGGTATATCAAGATGATGATGATGACAACAATAGACCTCTAATCTCAACCTAAGATTAAAACCCAATTATAATTATATTTGCTTTATACCGTGTGAGTCAAAAAAAAGTTTACACCTAGAAAATAGCTTATTTAAACAAAAATCATCTATAAACAGTATATTATTATACATCTTATGAAAGAGTGTTTTACCCCAAATCATTTGGTATCATTTTTGTGTGGTACATGTATGTGTTCACGCTTGGATGAACAGGAGGCATTTGTGTAAACTTTTTTTGACACACTGTATAGCGCCTTACACTTACTTTATCAGAAGTCTCTAAGCGCTCTACAATTATGCAGCATAATTACCCTTGCTTTAGCAGAGCAGCTGTCACACGCTTTCTGTTTAAAGGAATACGTTCCTATCAGGTCCCCATTTACTTCACCTGGGTGGACTGCAGCCCAATGCAGATGAATTTTTTGCCGAAGGAAATTTAAACATCCTGGAGTGGGATTCGAACTCACGACCTTATGATTAAAAGACGAGAGTCAGAACCACTACACCATGACGCTTCCACATAAATTACATCCATATGAAATGTTATATCTGCAAAATGAAGTCAGGAGCGATTGTCCCCAGAGCGAATGTAACAACATCTATGATGTGAAACCATGAAAGAATAATCCATCTTTTCATTTGTTGTTTGCAGTGTTAGACGCATCCAAACTAAAGGAGCGGGAGGAGAGAAACGCTGTCAACAGACGGTCACACCTACAGCAGAAATCAAACACTCTCAAGGACAAGAACGAGCAAAGGAGACAAGCCGTAGAGGAGCGCAGGAGGCAACAGGCAGAGACAGAAAAGGTATTTAAGGGATCCAGTAACTTTGTCTCAGATTCTGAAACAAAATCCTTGGTTTAGCTCATGCTGCAATTCATATATTTATAAACCTTTAGGTCAGTCAGGAACCCCATGACTTTTACAAGCCGATCGCCTGTCTGATTATCAAGAAATTTATGATTGGAAATCAAAATTTCATTTTTCGTTTATGGTAAAACCAGTCACTCAACGATTTTTACTCTTTTGAGGCACTTCTTGATCATTTTAAAGCGCAATTTTCTTAGGGCTTCAATATTACACCATATCACAGACACTGATAACAGGAAGGACCGTGCATCTCAGATTTAACATTGTTAAACGATGCCTTTAGATAGGACAGTGTCAGGAATTTTGGGGGCAAAAAATGCCATAATTTGTAAAAGGCTTGTGGATAGTCAATCTAATAGTGTACAAACACAGACACTTTAGTATCATTTGGCTATCAAATCTCTTGGAAGGCTATCTGATTTATAGATGACATGAGTTTCTATCCTCTTGTTCTCTCAAATAAATACCTATCATAGTTTCAAGAGTACAGTGTACATTGCTTGATTCACTTTCACTGATTGGTCCACTGTTTCAATCTGTATTAGTAGACTGTCATCGATATCAAAAAGACATTTTGCTCCGTAGTGCAAGTTGTGGATTCATGATCATACTTTAGTTGGATTGATAAAGCACCTCATCCTGATAATGCAAATTGATATCCAAAGCGTATAGATGCAGAACAAAATGGGAGTTGACAGTTAGGCGTGATAGCTCAGTCGGTAGAGCAGTGGTCTCGTAATCCGGTGACCCGGGTTCGAAACCAAGGCGATGCACTAGTGCCCTTTGGTAATGCATTAATCCTCATTACCAGGTCCCTCAGAGAGGACCTTAAACCGTCGGCCGTCTGGTTGCTTACTAACAAGCATTTATACTTTCTTAGCAGTCAGGTAAAATAACCACCATCACATGACAGTTGACATGTGACTGAAGTCATTTAGGGAGTTTGTAGCATATGGCATGACAGAATATGACAAAAATTTGATAGCTACATGAAAACATTGGCTATATTTACCACATCAAATTCTTTATTTTGACCTTAGGAACGCAAGGAGGCAATACTTCAAAAATCAAAGGAGAGGGATGACAGTCAACACGCACCAAGAGAGAAGCGCCGATCATGGAGTGCCTTTGGCGCTCGGGAGAGTCCCACCCCGATCCAGAGCGCGTCAAAGCCCCGCGGCACGAGCACGGACCGGGCCGCGCCCAAGAGCCGGACCAGCAACCTGGCCAGCTCCAAGCACCTATCCAGCTCCGTCTCCAACCTTTACCCGAGGTCAGTCAAGCTGGTCCGGCTGGGGCCCAACCAGGACGACTGGTTCCAGATGTATGTGCCGGAGAAAAGTAAGAAGAAGCCCGGCTCGTCCGTGGGTGCGGTCACGCCACCTCCGGCGAGTGGGGCGGGGCCTGCGGATGCTCGTTCGCCTGTTGGTGCATTACGCTCATCACCCAGCCATTACCGGTCTACCCCAAACCTTGCATGTAAGCTCACTTAACACCTCTACCTCTCCGTTTATCCTCTCTAACCTTTAATCTAATAACATCCTATTGGGGCGTCTGTCACATCTTCGGGATAGCATGTGGCTTAGACAGATAAATGGCTTTTTAAAAAGGAAAAGGTCTCTGGCTCAATCTTCAAAAAAGATTTTAGATATCATGATGTTTTGCGATAAATTTGGATTGTAGAACTATTACTTGTGTGAATTTATCGTTTAACTAACTTCAGTTTGCTCAAAATACCTTGATCCACTATAACATCACATTTTACAATCAATTCAAACATACTGAAGAAAAAAAGGAAAATTATGATAAATTTAATTATCTTTTATCTAAGTTTTTCTCTGCATGTCTTGATGAGCAATAATATGAATATTTCTACACAGTGAAAAGAACTGAAGAATAGTTCACAAATTTAGTCCCACAATATTTGACAACATCACAAACTAATCTAGATAATGGATTGAGCCTGGGATTTTTTCAAGAAGCCACTTCTAGTTTTTTCCGTGAAACAGACAGGTTTTATTGGAAGCTATTTTCACAGACATTTCCATTGTCACAGTAAAACTCAAAAGTGCAACCAAAGGAACAATTCCCTCTTGTATTCTGTATTTTTTTGGGCAACACTAATGATCTTTTTGAATAAAAATGATTTATCTTTAATAAAGAGTGACAATTTTGATGTATAATAGTAGATTAAAAATTCTATGATTCATACATCAAACTGATCACTAATTGTCCAGCTCTAAAACAGCTTTCGATATTTACTCTATCAAAGGGATTCTTATGGTTGCACTTTTTGGATAAGCATTTCTTGTCGTTCAGTCCTCAGACTTTCTTTCATAATCATATCTTTGCGAGGTTGACATACATGTATGTACATTTCAATATGACCTCTATGAACATGACACATAGATTATTGCTTTACAGCGCTTAAAGGTAAGGATTAGTCATATCAATGTCAATTTAATCAAACATCTTTCCTTTTTCGATCATACATTAAAGGTAAGATCCATAATTGTTAATTTGCTAGATCACTCTTTTGCCTTGTTCCTAAAAGTCAATTTCTCGTGACATCACTCAATTTTTTATATTTTGCCATTGCAAAATTCAATCATTTTCCCCATGTGCTTGCTAAATGCTTCAAATTATAGCATGAAATTTTATGTCATGTTTCTATTTCCTCTCGACGACCCTTTTTGTTATGAAATGTTCTTCATTCTTTGGTTGTAGATTTTTATGAAGGAATCTTAACCCTAAAAAAGGGGGAAAAAGAAGAAAAAGATCACCTTTATATAATTCTTTCACCTTTCATTTTTTTAATTTGATGTTGAGTTTTGTTGAAGAAAATCTAATTTTCACAGCCAAATAAGTATCTTACTTTGCCGGTATCTTTGAAAAATACTGCCTTTATATAAAGGTCCCATATAGTTGGGAAAATTTTAATTATGTCATGAAATTGCAACCTTGTTTTTTTGCTTTAAATCTTTGAAATATCATCTTTGCAGAGAATTTTGCAAATTTGTCTTTTCTTGTCTTCATTTTGATGCGCCTTTATTTATATGCTCTCCCCTTATTTTCAATCTCAATTATTATTTGATTGAATTTATGTACCCTCTGTGTACCTCTCAACATTCTTTGATATATGGTATGAAACCAGTTTCTTTTTTTCCTTTTGTTTTAAATTATTAAAATAAAGATATTGAAGCTCTATTATTATCCATGGAAGTTACAGCAAAAGCTATTCACAAAAGTGTTTTGAAAACTCTAATTTTCATGGATTTCTGCACATCCCGAAAGGAAAATTAATCACAATTTTATAGGGATAATAAAAAGCAGCATTCTAATATTTGACTGCTACCTATTAAATGAATGAAGGCATCAGATAATTATGGATACTGCCCTCTGTTGCCTATTTCTTGCCCAGTCGTGTCACCTCACAGAGATATGTGTCAGCATAATAGTCTTGTGGTTCTATACTTGAGCAGTTTTGAATATATAAAAGAAGAATCCATGATGATCTAGTGCCAGGAAATTAGGAGTCCTAATTACATTTGGAAATACAAGCTCATACAAAAATGAAACTTTGACTTCGTGAGTTGTTTAAGTCTAGATTGTGGCCTCCTCTTTGATAGATCAAATTAATCAAGAGGTGGAAATAAGAGAAATTATCCCAAAAGATTATCCCTTGATTGCAATATTACATACAGTATAATGTTATATTTAACATGAAACTAAATGTTTCTTGAAGATAGAAGTCATAGAATCTTAGACAAATAAATAAAGAATTGTTTCTTGAATGAAACCAGCACTTTCTTTTTATTCTGAGGACTGAAAGAATATGGCGAAGTTGTAAGATTCCAAAAAAATATATACATACTTCAATGCATAATATGATTTAAATATCTTTTCCTCTCATAAAATGCCAAATCATAGCATTTTATTTGACCGTCTCACAAACAACAAAACAACAATACCAACATTTGGGGAAAATAGGCCCTAGATTCTTAATCTTAAAATATGATAAAAAGAAAAAAAAGGAGCGTTAAACAAACTGCAGATCATGATGTGAATCCTTTTGTTGTTTCGGATAGGGATTGAATTTCTTGATTTCAAGAAACAGACTAATTATTGATGAGTCCCTTTTCTGCCATGAATATTTGGGCTACACGCAAAGCATCAATCTCAAAATTAATGGATTCATTTACACTATATTTCTGTAAGAATCATTTAAATATATTATTAGTGATTGTCAATGACAAGTGTTAAATTAGTTATGACAATAGTCACCACTCTCCAACAAAATTTTTGGCACTTGATTGTAAAGAGTCAATTTACATTTTGTAAGTGTCGTTTTAGAACTTCAACTACAAACAATATTGCAAAGGTGTAGATCAAATTTGCTTCACAGTGATATGACGAAGCAATGGGTCAAATAATAATAATAAAAACGTTACTTATAAAGCGCTTACCACTGAAGTCTCTAAGCGCTAACATCACTCTTTTTTGTCCTTGTTCTGACCAACTAAAATGACCTCTCCCAGTCCAACAAGTTATTAGTGAACCACAAAGGAAAAAGAGTTGTCCTGTTTTTGCTAAAATTGTCCCATTCAATTATGAAACATGTAGTAAAGGTTTAATATAGGAACGATTCATCGCTTGCACATTTATCCAAGATTATACAACATTAAACCTAATTTTCATTTCATTTGTTTTGTAAAGCGCTTAGAAACTGTTCTGGTATCTGTATACCAGCGCTATATAAATCTTGGATATTATTATTATTACATTTTGATAAGACTGTGATTGTGTTGAGCCTCTCCATCCCTTACCTTCCAAAATAATTAAATTTAATTTGAAAGAAAAGGATATTCAGAAAGACAATACACGTAAATGCTGAAACTTCAAAAATAATAATAAGATAATCCAAATATATATGCACATGCAGAGTTTAGAATGTTCATTATTCATGTTTATGGATTTTCTTGTACATTACGCAGAGGGCGTAGACCGACATGTACAAATACATAAATTCACAATAATACTTATATAAGGATATAAAAAGCGAAGATGTGTACAGTTTACAAACCCATATACCCCTCAAACCCTTTGCCAACCTCCTATACCGAATCCCCTTTGCTTTTCTTAGCCCTTGAAGAAAAAAAAAGCACCCTGACTTGGCTGGCAGAGTGCTTGTGGAATGCCTGTTGTTTTCTAATGTGCATGGAAATGTGACGGATTAGTTTTGGCACCTAGAATGCTAAGTTTAGTTTTGACTGTGATTCAGCATAATGTTTTTTTTTCTTTCTTTTTTTGGTTTCAATCCTAAAATGTCACCTTGGTGAATAGTATGTTGCATGCACCCTTAAAGTCATAACATGTTGTGTTTGTGTAGTTAGATGTTTTTGGATGTTTGTGGTTTGTTGACTAGAAACATAGAGTCTACTGTAGAAGGCTAGATCTTTGTTCAAAGTGCATGATCATGTTCAAAATCTTTTACAGATCTGTACATACATCAGGGATGCCAGTTTTCAGTCAATAGCCTGAATTCAGGCCCAGGCGAGTCATTTTCAAACCTCAGTTTGGGCTTTTTTTGTGTACAAAATAGCTCATTCTAGGTGATTTTCAGGCCCGCTGATCAATTCTTACTGGCATCCCTGATACATGTACATGTTTTTATGTACATGTATTTATACTATTATATGATTATGGTTGACTTGTACTCTTGGGACAGCTTTGAAATTTGAAAGTTGAGAAATAAGTTTTCATGTTCATCGTCTTTGACTGCATTAGTTTTTTGGCAAGACGTTAATCTACATTTGCCACTCTCCACCCAGGTGTAAATGGGTACCTGATATGCTTGAGCGCTAGTTACTTTGGCAGCTCGGCTACGACCAGGGTAATATGTGTAAAGCGCCATGAGCGTCAGAGCCTGGTGGATACCGGTGCTATATAAATATCCATATTATTTTTAGTAGTACTTTAATATCAACTAATACTACTTGAACTATGGGCATGCTGTTACCTCAATTTTGCCAGAAAGACACCATGCATAGATAGAACAGTCAGTGAATAGACAAGGAACTGTTTGATATATGTCTTAGTTTCATTGTTATAAGATCACGATTGCAATTCCATACAATTTATTGTCGATCACTAGCATGAAGTCACACTTTGTTTCATGCCAAACTGATAGTCATCTAAAAGAAGAAGAAGAAAATAAGATGAGATAATTGCCTTCTGCAATCAACCTGTCATAACGGCTATCTCTTTATAATGTAAAGTTCACTTGTTTCAAGTGGGCACCTACTTGTTCATTGTCTACATGTAAATGTAGGAAGAAAGATATGTCTTCGTACCTGTCACGAAATGCTTCAATGGCCACCTTTTCCCTGCATGGTCTAGCGATACAGATTTGGCGAATCCACTAGTACATGTATCTCTATACTGATAGGGTACTGTCTCGCAACTTCATTACATTACAT